ATTTAACTACCTTTATCGCGGATTACACCCTCCCTCCCCCTCCCTTTGGACGAAAACGAATCATTGTTCGTTCGAAGATTCCTCTCTTCGTTCGTTCGTTCGTTCGTTCGTTCGTTCCCTCTTCTCGTTTCATTTATTCTCCAAAAGACACTTTGAAGCGTATTATTCCGCAAACCTGCAGATTCTTCCACTTCGTCCGAATGAAAATTTAAATCGAATTTGAAACGTTAACTAATAATACGTTTAGTGAAAACTGCATTTGCACTATCGGATAGCTATGAGAATTCTTCAGAATCACGGAAGAATTAACGATTAATAAAAGACGCTTTGAAGCGTATTGTTCCATAAATCCTCCACCCCTTCAGATTCTACTTCATCCGAATGAAAATTTAAATCGAATTCGAAAGGTTAACTATAATACGTTTAGGAAAAACGTCGGAAACGTGTGCATTTGCGCTATCGAATAGTGGATAGCTATGAGAATTCTTCAGAATCACGGAAGAATTAACGATTTAACGTCGACTAATAAAACCCACTTTATTATTCCATAAACTACTCCTAGATTACTAATATATTTAGTAAAAACTAAAACGTATACACAAAATTAATATACACGATTGATGAATGAACCTACATCGCCAACCTGTCACAACATTTATTCAATTTCCTCTGGAAATTCCTCCTCCTCACCCCTCGAAAAGCATCCCACGAACGGCGCGACAATCAACGTCCCTTTATAATAATACCCGACAAGTATCTCTCGCTTCGTAGAAATCCCACGAGAGCTCGAGGGGGTGCGAACAACCTGTGTCTCCTTCGCGACAGAGATCAAGGAGAGGAAAAGAGCAGACAGACTTCCTCCTCGTTCGCGTGTCCTTCCATCGTTCCCTAATTATCCTCCCCTTCTCCTCCTTTTTTCTTTTCCTCCTTCTTTTTTTTTAAATCCACGCTGACAAGTGTCCGCGCACGATGCACCTAGCCATCAAGCAGGGGAGGCGAGGAGGAGGGTAATTACGAGCACTCGACGCGAAAATAAGGGAATATATATATAGATACACGTGTGTACACACGATATACGTGTCTAAGCTTTTAAAAAAAATAAAAAAAGAGTTTTCGCGGAGGAACGCATTGTAAGCACTCTCTCTCTCTCTCTCCCTCTCTCGGGCGCGATTCTTTTGCTCAACAAGTCGTGGCTTTTCTAGAGGGAACTCGTTACACGGATGGAGCCAATTAGAATCGAGGGACACCTTTTCAATGTTTGTCGCACACGCGCGGTAATTATGGGATTCACCGCTTCCTCCCATTCGGATTAATACGAACGTCTATTAATTAGGCGTGACTGTGATATTCAGCGGGGGTGAATGGGCGAGGGTGGAAATTATTTACTTTGTTTTTGTTTTCTTTTTTTTTTTTTGCACGAGCGTGATCCTTCCTCGAAAAGACGAGTATCGCTATATCGTTCCTATTTGGAAATAATAATTTTTGGAAATGGTCGGCTTGGTGAAGGGATAGATTTGATAAAAATTTATCTTAGAATTTAGGTATTTACATGCTCGCCGTTGAACGGATGAATTTTTGATAAATTGGTTCTATCGATTGGTAATAATTCAAAGGAAAAAATAGGTGCGTTTCGTGGGGAAATAGAGGAGCGAGACAGACACTTGCGCGACTACGCAGATATGGATGGATTTACACAGGTGTCGGTGATTACGAGGTATATTTTTGAAAATATAGCACCGATCTCAAGAGTCGTTGCGCTGTTTAGCGGGAAAAGATCTTCGCTCTGCTATTAATTCCGCCAATCGTAAAAATATTATTCGTCGGCTAACCGATAGGACGAGTTTCTCCATTCGATCTTTTCGTCAGTGTTAACAGTTGTGAAAAAATATATATATATATATATTTTTCTTATAACGGTTGAAAGTTGAAATTGATGGATGATGAAAATTTGATCCGTTCCAGTGACCGGAAGTGCCCAAAGGCCCGAAGATTCTGCCTTCGCAGCAGCTGGGCGCTGCGGTCGCTCCATGGCCGGGCGCCACCGGCCTCCTAGCCTCTGTCACCGCTGACGACATGGCACACAAAGGTAAATTTCTTCCTTTTTTCTTCTTCTCGCGTAATTTAAGAAAAAGTAGACAAAAAAAGGTATGTGTAACTATCTGCGCAAATATTAATGGAAAACGTACGATAGAAATTTAAAAATAAATATCCAAAGCACTAAAAGCACCCCCCACCGCTATACGAATTATAGAAAATTATTTTCTGGAATTTTTCTCGCGCATAATTTCAATGATTCACGTATACTATTTATTTTCTATGCTTTATCAAGTATTCCTTCGTTTCAAGGAAACGAATATCCGTTTAAGCTCCATCTTTTCATCGTATAAATTTCATCGTAAAAATTTAATTCTAAATAATTGTTATTACACGATATATAAAAAACTCAAACTCCATTTTTTAAACGTAGTTTCGAGGGAAGATTACGATTATACAATCAAAATCAAAAGTTAGGATCAGGACGATATCCTAAAATTTATTCCTAGAAGATTTTTTTTAATCGCGCATTCGCGATTAAAAATTTAATTCCACGTAAACAATAATTGTCACGCACGATACATATATAAAAAATAACGAAACCTCATTTTTCAAATCAAATCGAACGACGTACGAAAGTTTTCTTTTCTTAACCGGCCACTTTCGAGACTTTAGAGCTTCTTTTCAAATTTGCCGCCACGCGTGGAAACAACTTTACGGGATTTATCGAGAGCGAGCAAATTAATATCGCTGCACTGGATAGGCTGGATGGGATGAGGAGAGGGGTGGAGGCGAGGAAATAGCCGTGAAGCCGAATCGAAACGTCCGAGGGATGGAGGGGGTTGGTTCGGTTGATGGCTAAGGCGTTTAACCCCATTAGTCCTGAATGGAAGTTCACCCGGGCTCCTCTCTCTTTCACCTCGCCTTTCCCTCCCGCCCCTCCCTCAGCTCTCTTAACACGGAAAAGGGGTCCAAAGAGGATGAACAGACGACGTCTCAAGGCTTTCCAAACCCGACACCGGCTCCTGCCCTGTGAAACTGGCTCCTCGCTGCTCACTTCACGTATTGATTTCCATTCTCTTCTACGCCTTCCAACCAGACCCCTTTTCCGGCCGCTGCCGTGCCGAAAATTCTCGCGGAACGGAAGAGATGCAACGGCAGATTTGGGCCAAGTTTGCCCGATTTCGGCGGAACAAGTTTTCTCAACAAAATTCAACACGAATTTCATTGCTCTTTACCATCGAAGAACAAACGAATCGAGAAATTTATCTTTTTCGGGGCGAAATGATGATTCCTCCTTTCGGATACAGATTTATAAATAAAAAGTTTACCACCACGAATTTAATCGAAAAATTATTGTCTCGTTTCTTTTTATCAAAATAAATCGTTGTCCATTCGTTGAACAACATTTCCCAAACGAAAGAATTTGTCGCCCGATTTTTCGAAAAATCTGGAACAAGGATCGATCCACTGTTTCTTACCTTCCCAGCCAGCCGAGATTCCCTCTGGATTTTACGATCCGGAGAAATTAGGTCGTTCCGGAATTTAGGTTTTCGCGGCGGGGGACGCGTTAAACGGTCGACAGGGATTAAATCACGGAAGGATCCACCGAGGAGGGAATCTGCACGGTGCTCCACGAGTCGTCTGGCCGAGCGGGGTGTGTTAAGTTAGCTCGTCGAATCGATTGAGAACCCTCGCTTTTGATCGATCGCGAATCCTCCTTTTTTTCGAAGTTTTAAATATCGGATACCTTTCTCGCTTTCTTTCTCGCGTCGCCTCCACGACTCTCCACCGATCTCCACCGTATAAGTTTGAATAATAAGTTGAGAAATAAATTAGAATAGAAATAAATTAAATTTATGATGAAATGATTCGAAGGGTAGAAGAGGCCTCGTTGAAAGATATTTGCTTAAAGAAGCGGGATCAAATTCCTCGGACCAAAGAATTAAAGTCGATGGAAAACTAACTGGAAACGTCAACAAGAACCGTTTTCACTTTCAACCAATCTCGCGATCGAATATTAACAATTCGAGAAACCGAAACGGAAACCGAAGCGAACCAGGATGAAATATATTCCTCGAAGCGGTATCTGAGATCGATTCATCTTACACTCACGCCCTCCTCCCTCTCCCTTGAACCTTGAAAAGGGAACGAGAGAAAGTTGGAGGGAGAAAGCGGAAGTGGAGAGTGTCGCGCGTACGACTCCCGGAAGCGCGATACACGCGTTCGAGACGCGTCACCTCCTCGACGACGAATCATCTTCGCCCCCGAGCTCGCTTTGGCGATAGCGGCAGTTAAAGGGGAGGAATAAGAATGAAAAGGGAGAATCCTCGTCCTTCCTTCTCCCCTTCCTCCTTACATGGTAACCGGGAGATGAGGAGGGAGGGGGAGAGGTGAAAAAAGGAGGGTGGCTCGAGGGTGGCATCGATCGTTTCTGAATTCCTCTCCTCTCCTCTCGCCTCCTCTTTCTTCCACCGTGCTCGAGAGAATATTATATTCGAGATGGTGAACAATCGAAGATCGAAGAATTTTTTCAAGCGAAACCTTTAATATATCGAATAATCCCAAATTTTTGATAGAAAGTGAACGAAGGATTTTTCGATGTTACAGCCGATAATTGATCGATTCTTTCGATCCTCCTCCCATCACGTTGGAAACAGCGTTGGGTGAAAAAATGCGTTTCTAATTCGCAGTGTGATCATCACGAGGACGAAGTTGGATTCTCGGGGAAATATAAGGAAACGAGCGTTTTCAACAGCCGAGAAAAGAGATTCTCTCTCTCTCTCTCTCTCTCTGTCTCTTTGCAGAAGCGTCAGGGTACAAAAGGAACGACGAGCTGCTGCTTCTTCTTCGCCCCGACTAAGAAACGAGAGCAGCAACTGTTCCCTGTGCAAACACGTCGTTCCACCGACGACTCTTCCAACTGTTAAACGAAGTAAAAAAGGGAAAAAAGGAAAAAAAAGAAGAGAGAGAGAGAAAGAGAAAAAAGGAGAGAACGAAAACAGAGACAAAGAAGAAGAAGAAGAAGAAGAAGAAGAAGTGGAGGAGCAAAAGGAGGGTATCCTCCTCGCAGAGAATCTCTCTCTCTCTCTCTCTCTCTTCTCTCTCTATCGAAGAGGCGAGAGAGCTTTGAGCCGTGGAATTCCACTGCGACACCCCTTTCCCCTTCGAGCTCAGAAGAAGAAAATAAAAAAGGGTGTCGGTATTTTTATGTGGAGGGGAGAGAGGGGGCGGTTACGAATTAATTGAATGACGCGGAGGGGGAGGGGAGGAAGATTGCTCTCCGCGTCTCTGAGAAAATATGGCTGGGTGGGGGATCAAAGGAGAAGCCTTTCCATCTGTTTTACTTACGTGACTGTCGGGCCATTTTAAACAGCCGCCCATTCCTCAGATTCCAGTTTTCTTCCCCCTTCTTCTTCTTCTTCTTCTTCTTCTTCTTGCGAGTAACTTCTTCCTTCGAGGGAGGAACAACTAACTCGGCGAGTGGAAGCCCCGATTCGTTCAATTTTTTACACGCGATCGTTCAAATAATCGGATAATCGAGGAGGATAACCATTGCGTGGAATATCATCGTCGCCATCTCTCTCGAAAAAAAAAGAGAGAGAGAAACTTTAAAAATATCCATCGACTCGTCCGACCGACCCACTCTTTCCGAAAAAAGACACTCTCGAAAGACAATCCTCCTCCCCCCTCATCCAAATAACGAAACTGTCCCCTTCGAATCCAACGAATCCATATATATATATATATACATACACACACACACACACGCACACACACATATACACGGTAAACCGACGAAGATAGTCGGACGCGGAGGCGAACAGTCTTGCATCAAGTGTATTCGACTGTAAAATTCCCTCTTCAAACAGAAACGGGTGGCTGGCACATTTTTGGGCGGCGGCGGCGGCGGTCCGAAGGCTGGAAAAGATGAGAAGGCCTTTGGGGGGAGGGGGTGACCCGAGAGAGAGAGAGAGAGAGAGAGTACT